CCTTAAACAAGTGAGATCTTTTTTTACCTTTAAAGAGAGGGGTGTTGCAAATCTGATCCCAAACACTGTGATTTTGGTGATAATAAATATTATTATTTTCATACTACTATCTTCTATAAATTGTTATTATTGAATATCTATTTTGTTACCCTGTTGACTAACATTTTAGGTCCACATTTCACTTGTAACTTAAATCAACTCAAAATTGGGTAGATTAGAATTGAGTCTATTTGTAATTTCAACTTCAATGTACTTTTACCTTTCTTCAGTTAAGTCATGTATATGGTGGATACTAAGTTGAGTAAAATGGCACACACACACTAAAGAGAGTGAGTTGGTGAGTTAGAAAAATTTTTATTTTTTGAACTAATTGTACAATACACCATATCATACTAGACGATCAGTTAACTAAAAAATCCTAATTATGGCACCATTTTTTAATTGAGATTTATTAAACTAATCATATTAGACAATCTATATTATATATGATGATCTGTTATAATTATAATATTCCATTGTCCACCAACACCACCACTAATTGCTCCCCGATTTGCCCTCTTACTTTGAGTTTAAGGATACTTATGCCACATCTAAATGTAATTGCTTTGTTTACTACACGGCCTCCTCCACCTCATCCTCGCTTTGCTCTTCCCCTTCACAAACCATCAAGACCTAGAGTGCTCAATTATTGCACATAAGTTTCGGTGTGAATCTCTCATCACACGTGAAGCATAATCCTTTTACCCGCCTTTCCTGCACCTCCACTTCTGTGAGCACTTGAAATTTCTTCCAAGATAAACTTCACTGCTCTTCTCCTTCGATTTCTCCCCCTGTTAGTTCCTCACGTGTAGTGATGGAGAAATTCTCTCCCTTCCTCCCTTGGCTCATTTGGACCCCATGGCCCGGCCCAACCATTGCTTCCTCCAGTCCTCCTTCCATCCTTCCTGGGTGGTCTCCAAAAGGGTTCAGCCTCCCCCTTTCTTGCTGCCAATTGTTCTGGATGCCTAGATGCACCTCCCATCAG